TTCAGTTTAGCTGTTCGGGGGTCACTTTCTGTTTCCGAATTCGCGCAGCTTCCCGGGGAACTGCCGAATTTCCAGGGGAACTGCGCGAATTTCCAATGACACCTGTTTTCATCGGTTTTCTTGACACTTTAATGGATCCTCCAGCGGGCCTCCGCGGGTTTCGCAAGCCATGGGCATCTGGGAGCGCTGATGGTGACTCACAGCCTGCAGCTACAGAGCATGCAAGCGGTGACCAAGTCGAACCTCAGTCGTTGGAGCTTACTGGTTTTGATTTGTTTGGGTCACTGGAAACGCATGAAACTGCATGTGAGTATTCGCCTTCTTTAGCTCCTAGCCCATCGGAACCTGTGCAGCCTGATCCAGTTGAAGTTCAAGATTCAGCCTCGGACAGTTCAGCACCTGCAATTTCATCACATGTTGAGCAACTGGGTATTTCAACTGCGTTTCGTTTACTGAGAAGCAGGGACATCAAAATGCCTTGGGAGAAAGGACCGCTCTCTCCACTGTTTACCAAGAAGATTTCAGGTGAAGCGGCAACCTCAGTGAAACCTTGTCGAGTAGGACTAAGAGACGTTTTGGTTCCTGCACCTAAGATTCAAGTCATTGCACCAAAGCTGCCTGTTTCTTCTTTTTCTGCAATCAACAGACGCATTGCAAAGTGTCGCATCCATGTGGCTGAAGATGAGCTCAGAACCAAAGCGCTGAACCAGTTTAAAGTTCTGATTTCACTAGACTTGGATGCAACTCAGCTGGGACAGTCGATAACTAATGTGCTTGGAACCATTGACCCTTCAGTCGACCCTCTGCAAGTACTTCAGGATGCCATGTCAAACAAGGCAACCGGGACCCTTTTAAAGAGGGCTTCTTCGATGTGGAGATTTGCATGTTGGCTAGAAGCTGGTCAGATGGGAACATGTTTTAATCAGACTGAACAAGTGCTTTATGATTACATGAACTACTTGCGCGATACAGGTTCGGCCGCAACCTCAGCATCTCATTTTGTGGAGTCATTGCGGTTCTGCAATCAGATGTTCAAGCTTCAGAAGATGGACATTGCATCAGTGCTTTCACCTCGAGTGACGGGAGCATCTTTCTGAAGAAGCGGAAGTTGACACAGGCTCCAGCCTTACCGGTCAAAGCAGTGCAAACCTTTGAACAGATCTGCATTTACTCCGCGGACATGCACAAGCGTGTGATTGCTGGGGCACTGTTGTTTTGCATATTTGCTTGCGTCAGATGGTTTGATGCAATGAGAATTGAAGAGCTCTCTGCAGATACACATGGCAACATAGTTATTTTGGAAGCTGCAACAGCTTTGCACAAGACGTCCATGAGCAAGGAATCCAAGACGCGTCTGCTGCCTTACACTGCAATTGGGACTTTTCTGGACGAACAATTTTGGGGACTGGCATTCATTGATGCGCGTGGTGCAAGTGGGTTGAACGATCAATCAGTTTTTCTACCTTCTTGGAATGAAGTTGGTTCAAATTGGTCCAATCACCCGATGTCGTCAGGTGAATGCACTTGTTGGATCAGGGAGTTCTTGGAGGACACCTTCAAAGGAGGCTCAACAGAGTATTCAAGTCATGGCTGCAAGGCCACTCTTTTGACTTCGGCCGGCATGACAACTTTGTTCAGCAGAGAAGAGCGTACACTTTTAGGACATCATATTGAACCTCAGACTAGATCAAATGTGACCTACAGCAGGGATTCACAGATTCTTTTGCAGTACAAGGTCAGCAAGCTTATTCAGATGATTGACACGGGGAGACTGCAACCCGATGTGAGTCGAGCTCAAAGGTTGAGCACGATGCTTCAAGATGATGCCAACGCTCAGGCAGACTTGATTGAACAACAGGATGACCAACCGGTCGATCTGGTTAGGAGTGACGACAGTGACGACCACTATGCCGACGAGGACGCGCCACTTTTCAGTATGAGGCCCGTTTCAAAAGGTGGAAGAGATCCAGTCCCAGAAGGCGCTGAACTTAACAAATGGTTCATACATTCATACACTGGCATGTTACATGGGATGATGCCAGGCCATGACACTTTGGCATGCGGGAGAAAGATCACGGTTAATCTTGCTGAAATTGAGCTTGATCAGATTGACATTGACGCTGCAACAATGTGTATTCAGTGCAACACCGTGATCAGAAGAGACGCACATGCGGAAGCCTCAGACAGATGAGATGATGTAAGCACGGTGACCCATGCAAAGTATGGCAAATTTTTGCAGTGCTTTTCTTAAGTTTCATTTATTCTTCTTCCCAAAAGGAAGAGTCTCACTCAGAGCCCAAACATAGGCCAACCGACAGCAGCTAAAAATGAGGTTCACGCTGACACCACGTTCAATGTCAGTGACACGACACAACCAAGACTTGTCGTTCCAGAAACCTGCATTTTGCTGTACATGTCTTCGCAGGGGCCAGTGTTGCACTCAGCTGATTCTACTTTGTGTTGTAGCCGTAACCTCTCCAACCTTTTGAGAGGATAGCGGAGAATGCAGCACCCAAAGAATCAGACAATTCAAAACGATTCCCAAAACAATAGGGTCAACTATCAGCTAATTGACCCTATGTTTCAGATCGTTCTTGCAACATGGCCTCGATACATGAACATGACGTGTTCAGATGGCAGACAATCTTTCCTGAGTTCATAGCTTAATCTAGCGCTTGGCTAAGCCAATGGCACTGGACTCGAAAGCTGCGTTTCAACTCAGGGCATCAGAGATTGGCATAGGCAGTGATGACATCACCCGCATGGAAGATGGAGGCATTGCAAGTTTTTCGCAGTTCGCCTTTTGCTGCTCTTACCAACCTGGTGGGTCAAGTGAGGAGGCATTATTTGATCATTTGGAGAGTGTTTTGGGAACCAAACCCACCGGTGCTTCTGCAGCAAACTTTCGAAGATTGTTTTTCGAATGCCATGCAATGGCGCTGAATGATTTGCAAAGCCGATTAGAAAGGAGCGACACTTCAGAGGTCAAGATCCTGCCCCTTGCGGAGAAGGTGCAGCGCTTACAGCTCCTGAAAAAGAAGTTTCCAGGTGTGATGCCCAGCACAACTCTTGAGCCCTCACATAGCCTCATCGACAAGGTTGTGCATCAGTACGAGGAGAACTGTGTCAAGCTGGTTGAGCTTACAGCTTGCACTTCACGTGAACAGGAAATCCGATGTGACAAGAGCACTCCACAGATCACATTCGATCACTCTGGAAACATCCAAGGTGACCAAGCAGAGCCAAGTCACTGAGTGTTCCATTCAAGGGGACATCCGTTTGAGATCGGCTTTCACTCGACGTTCTCTAGCCTACGAGCTGGCTAATGTGGCATCTTTTGAGGTTATGGAAGGGTGGTCACAGCTACTTTTTGACAGAGTTTGCCAAGACCCTCCTGCTGGTTACAAACACATATCAGTAGAGCAAATCATGGTGGCAGACCGCAAGTTGTGGGTAAAGGTCTCAGAAGAGACTAGATCCAATGTGACTGCAATGACCAATGGACGGAAGAACGTTGACCTGGCGATTGAGAAGTTTTCACATCACCCTGATGTTCAATTCCATATGCTGCCGTTGCCAGTCGGTCAGAGCTCCACTGCAGCTGGCAGCAACCAGAGGTTCCAACCATACCCAGCGCCAGGTTAGGAAGGGCAAAGGTGGCTCGAAGTCTGACAGCAAAGGGGCGCCTGGGAAAGGAAAGATTCAGATTCCAGATGGATGCACCATCAAATATGGGGAAGGAAACAACAAGCCGATCTGTATGAAGTACAATCTAGGTGCATGCCGAGCAAACGTCAAGCCGGGAAAGCGTTGCATGCATGGATACCACGTTTGTTGGAAGGTCGGATGTCACAGAAGCAATCCATACCATGAATGCTCCCATGTTGGGAGTTCCTGACTTGCGGATACAGTAGGCAGTCTCACAGGCCCTTCAAACTATTTTGTGGAGTTTTTCTCGGGCTCAGCAGGGCTCTCCTTCGAAGTAAGGCGAGCTGGTTTCAATGTGTTGGCAGTGGACCATGATCGAAACAGACATCGTCCCAAAGTTGCACAAGTTTCATTAGATTTGACTTCAGACGATTCCCAAGGTATCGCTCTTCAGATGCTCAGGCGAATACGACCGCTTGCAGTTCATTTGGGACTGCCCTGTGGAACATGCAGCCGCGCAAGGGAGAAACCTTTGCCAAAACATCTGCAGCAAAACCATAGCGATCCGAAGCCTCTACGGGACGCTCAAAATTTGTTGGGCTTCCCTGGACTCAGCGGGGCAGAAAAAATGAAGGTTGAGCAGGCCAACAAGTTGTATGAGTTCGGAGTGCAGGTGCTGCTTTTATGTTTTGAGCTTGGAATCCTTGCGTCCGTTGAAAACCCAACGCGCTCTTGGCTTTGGGGAATTTTGACATGTTTGGCGATGCAAACTGGAAACAAAGAGTTTATACAATGGTTTGCTGCGCTCAAGAAGGTAGCAGTTAGACTTGTCTAATAGCTGTTTATAAACAAGACCTTGAAGCCTTCTTTTAAAAGGCGGCCCGAAAAAAAAAAGAAAATGATTTGACAAACAACAGGCTCTGTGAAGTTTTAACGTCGTTTGTCTATGCTTGCATTGCGCACTCATGCACGTACGTATTGCGTTTGTTTGTGTGTATATATCTATATATGATATGTACACTGTACACTATGATGTGCTTATGTTTCAACCCAACACCTCCATTGATCTTATGATTTATGCCATGTGAATTTATCACCTCAAGATGCAGGGTAGGGTGGGAGGGACACCAACAAAGCTGTTGGGTTAAAATTTCATGCGGAGACAAGGATCCGCACCTACCAAAGGTAAGGTGGCTTTTCACAGCCCAATCTGCTTGGGGCGCTTGCCATCTTCTTGCTGCCTGTGCACAGTCGGGAGCTTTTGTGGTTTTTCACTTGGACTTCTGGCTTCAGCAATCGCATTTTTGGTGTGGGTTTTGTCCCAGTGATTTATGCCCAATTTCTTGGTTGACATGGAGCGTTTCATTTTACGTTGTCGACACAGTGGCCATTTTGTGAGGGACATCTGGGTTCAGTTTGCAGTGTCTACGACAGTGGTTGCATTTCTGGATACTCACAGTCAGATTCGGGTTTTGCGATCTTGCATTGTCGTTTACGTGGACAGATCTGAAGTTGCACTAGGATCCACTTCAGTTCGACTTCACTGCATTGACCAGGCTTGGACAGTGGCTACGCCGCCTCTTCAGGCCTTTAGTGCTGCCCATTCCACTACATCATCGTGGTGGAGCTCAGATTCTGGTTTCGATGACGGACCTGAAGCGCAAGAGGGGTTTTTCTTTTGATGATGAGCTGATTGATCCAGACACATCACAATTTTGCATGCATGCCAGACATTCATGGTTGAGCAATAGTGTCAGCAACTTGAAGCTGCCCTGGGACTTCAAGATGAATGACCAGTTTGATTTGGTTGAAAAGGCACGGAAGGGTCTGCTTAGAACTGTTGGGGTCATGCCTCCTGTGCCACTGTTGGAGCAACCCCAACCAGAGCCTTTTGAGTCTAAATTTGCAATTGGGTCGGACCGCAATTTCAGTGTTAAAGCTCTTCACAATGCACATCGACGGTCATGGAGTGAGCAGATAAACTACGACCGGAAATGCGCCTACAGGAAGTGGATTGCAATTGTCTCTGAGAATGCAATGGCATTTGAGGTGGCGCGACTTCAAATGCTGTCTGGTCCAATGGAGTTTGCGAAGGGAGGGCTTGCTGAATCAATCCATGATGCACTGGGAAACAAATCATCGAGCACCTTGCATGCCAGAGCAGGGCCTATTTTGCGTTACATCAAGTTTTGCACTGATAGGAATGTCAGGAGCCTGCCTTTGGAAGAGTACAGGGTCTACGATTTCATCAAGGCTATGCAGGATTCAGCACCGAGTTTTCCAAGGTCTTTCCTTTTGTCAGTCAGCTTTGCCACGCACATTTTGGGCCTGATTGGTGGTGCGGCAGTTTGTGACTCCAAGCGCATTGATGGAGCTGTCAAGGCGCACTATGAGCAGAGGGCCAAAGTCAGACAGAGGCCGCCCCTGACTGTGATGCAGGTAAAGGTCTTGGAGCAAATTGTCAAGAATGACTCGAAGAGCGTGTATGATCGGGTCATGGCTGGTTACTTTTTGATGTTGGTGTACGGACGCCTCAGGTTTTCCGACGGTCAAAGGATCACGGGTATGAAGCTTGAGATGGTTCATGTTGATGGTGATCTTGTTGGGTTCTTGGAATGCGCTGCAGAAAGGACGAAGACCAGCATGTCTTTAGAGAAGAAAGTGCGTTTCCTTCCAATTGCGGTGCCAGTGCAATCTCTGACATCACCTGCATGGCTTCCTGTCTGGAACGAGTTGAGGGCCGACCAGGGCCTCACCGCTTCAGGATACACCAGCAACGTGTATCCTGTGATGCCTGCTCCTGCTGCTGGTGGCGGCTGGTCCCAGTCTGCATTGGGTGTGACGCCCGCTGGAGAGTGGCTGAGGAACCTGCTCCGCCATACAGAAACGGTTGGTGATATCAGGTTGGCTACCCACAGCTGCAAGGCGACTTTGCTTTCGTGGTGTTTGAAGGCTGGAGTCGATCATGACTCAAGACGCTTGCTTGGGTATCATACTGCCTCTTCAGACAAGTCCTTGCTGGTGTATTCCCGTGACGCGATGGCCCAACCATTGAGGGCTCTTGTGGCTGTCGTTGAGAAGGTTGTTGCAGGTACTTTCAATCCTGACACTACGCGCTCGGGTATGTTTGCTTCGCAGCCTGATGGTTTTGATGATGGGCCGGGTAGCCCTGCCTCTTCGAGCTGTGGATCGGAGGACGAAGATGACAAAGATCTTTTCCAGGAAGAAGAGGCCGTTGAGGCCGTTGCTGGGAAATGGCAACCTCCTGAGCCTGATTCCACGGAAGAGGTCTCTTATGTGAGGCATCTGACTTCCAGGTGCATTCACCGCTTGATGGATGAGGGTGGCACACACCTTGCTTGTGGCAGAGCTATGTCTGCTCGGTATGAGCTCCAGAGCGACCGGCCTAGGTTCTTTCACCCGCTCTGTGGCACCTGCTTTAAGGACTCTCAGCCTTAAAAATGTGCTGCCGATGTCTCATGGTTTGGAGTTGTCATTTGATTGATGCGTGAATCTCTGCAACCATCACATGTCATGTTTGTTTTCAGTTTTCATGAACGTCTGTCGTCATATGCAATGACGTCCATTGATGTGCAAGACATGACCACCTCATGCAGGGTGCTCATATGAAATTTTCATTTGATGATGTATGCGTAGTCTCGGCTCCAGTTTTGGCGCGATGTCGTATAACGACAGCAAAGCGGTTTTCAAAGAGGTTTCTGGAGATCGGACTTACAGATGCTAACTATGATGCCTTTAATGCAGAAGGCCTGAACACTTTGGAAACGGTGCGTTCTCATGCAACTGTGCTCCAGGGGCTGCTGATGAGAGGCCGCTTGTCACTTTGGTCACAAACGTGTTGGGAAATGCACCTTCCACGGAAGAAATGGTATGCATTAGGAGGTTGTTTGGCGATGCTTACTCCACTATTGCCGCGATATTCCTTCGAGGGTTGAAGTTTTGATGAGGCTTCAGTAAAGAAGCTTGCACGTGCAGAGAGGTCCCTGGTTTGTAGGATCATCAGACCATTTGTCCGGCCTTGACCTCAGAGGAAATTACGAACCTGGAGATTCTCTTGTGGATCTAACCGTTGCTGCCTGTGACTCAGACAGGGTTGCATGCATGCCATGGGATGTTGTTTCTCGCGACCATGCAATGGTCACGGGCACTAAGAAAGATGCAACCTCAGCTTTGATGTTTCAAGCACGTTCGAGCTGACGAAGCGTGATCAGGTGAGTCGTACGGCACTGCGAATGACATGCAGGTACGCTACTGCCTCATCCGGAGAGTTTTGGCGGCTGACCAGGCCGACACCATGTGTTTCAAGTTGCATGATCCTTTGGCCGAAATCTCATGAATGCACGTATGGAAGAGCCGCCTAGCTTGAGACGGTGTGAGACGGCAAACAAAATTCTTGGGCACTCATGGCAGAAAGACTCGTGATGGTATCTAGTCTGGCCCTGCCGGCCGCCCTGGCGATGAATGATTTGGTGCATGCTTGGATAGCCCTGAGTTTCTGAACCGATTCTCTGTGCCTGCAGCGTCTCCTGGACCTTCCAAGCCGAAGCCTTCAGAAGAGCCTGCGACCAAGGAGCCCCCCCCAAAAAAAAAAGGCCCTCAGAATTTGAAGGGAGCTTCAAAGGGAATTTCATGAGGGTCCCAAATGAGTTGATGGCTTTGGGTTGCGTTGGTGCTACAACCAAAGGTCATCGTTTGTGCTTTTGTTACAGTTTCAAGCGATGCAAGCTTGTTGTCAAGGATCAACGCTGTAGGAAAGATTGCATTTGTGCGCAGTCACGGGTGTCAGAAGACGTACATGGCTGTTGAGTGTCCCAATGAGGGAAACGTTGCGCGGGAGTGACTAGATCTCGCAACTGGTGCCGAATGCATGGGCGCTGATGACCGATCTCGGAGTCCAGTCAATGCAAGACTGGGGGACGGGATTCAACCTTCAAAAAGGCTGCCGCGTCAGCCGAATTTACTGCTGCTGAAATGGCTGCAGCTCAGTCCGCTGAGGATCGTGTCTCTTCATGTTCATCTTCAAGAGATTTGCATGGATGTTTTAATTTTGGTGGATCTGGCACACAAACCTCGATGTCGCATTGTTCTTTGGATTTGGCAGAGGACCATGCTTGGGAAGCTCGGAGTACATTGCTGATGCATGCGATGTGACAGCGGTGCATTTAGCGCCACCTTGTGGAACTTGTAGTAAAGCAGGGGGGTATGCCGGTATACCCATGACAAATGGGGTTTGACCAGTCGGAGCTGGTACAGGTGGTGTACCAGGTTCGATTGGCCAAACCCTAGAATTTTCGATCTGCAGAACATCTACTTGTAGTGCCCGACATGATTCCTCTTGACAGAATGAAGGTCAATGCTGCCAACAGGTTTATGAAAGGATGGGCAAATTCACGAACTGGCTGAATTCAAAAGGCGTTTATGGGAGCTTGAGAATCCAACGAACGGTCTCGTGGTTTCTTAGATTTTCAACAGGGTCATTTTGCGCAGTGTCATGCTTGCGCATACGGAAGTTCCAAACCGAAAGACTTCATTTGAGCAACAGTGTTGGTCTTCAGGTGATGCAGAAGTTTGGTGAGGGTACTGCACCTCACGAGCATCCCCCTTGTGGCGTTTCTGACGACAGAGGTTTTGCGTGAACAGCTGGTGAAATTTGTGTATGATCGTGCACTGATAATGGCATAAACCTTTTGCCCTCGAGCTTCCAGCCACCTCGACCAACAAACAACCCAAGGGTCGAGCCACTCCTCGGCTCATTCTTGACTATGAGCGTGTTGTCAGTTTGCTGCTGCGTGAAATCCCGACTCTGACTCCAAGATGTGCCTGCTGCAGTCATGCAGAATTGTGCCAAATGGGAGCAAGCTCCTGCGTTCCGAGAAGAAGGGGAAGATGGTCTTGCGTAATTTTCATGTTTCATACATGTGAGAAGTTGTGCATGCTGCAAAATCGCTTTGGCAGCACACATGCCGGATCAGTTGCTCTTGTGCCAATTGACAACGCTTACAGTGCCTCAACTGGTTTCCTGCTTTTCCTTGCTCCTTACACTTGTGTGCGAACTGACCAGGAGGTTGAACACACCTGTCGGATTGGCAGCGAGCATTGGTGAGACAACTGAAGACAATGGTTCAGGAGCACACATGCCGGATCAGTTGCTCAGGTGCCTCTTTGAACACGTGACAAAGTCCCCTCATGGACTTGGTGAAGTTGAAAATCCACAGGTGAAACCGTGGACATCCTGGGCGCGTGACTTGGCCAGAGGCGAAGTTGAATACCGGAAAAACTGGATCCCAGGGTGAGAGCTGTCCTGGGAGCAAAGCGCCTCCTTCTCATGAAGAAAGTTGCAGAGAAATTGGATGGCCTGGTACTGAGCTGTGCAATGAGCTCGCAAGAGGTGTCGGGCTCGTTGGCAATGCTGTCCCAGAGAGCAATACAAGTTGACATTGGACCCCAGCGTGAGAGCAGTCCTGGGAGCAAAGCGCCTGCTCCTCGCGAAGAAAGTTGCGGAAGAAATTGGATGGCCCGACACTGAGTTGTTCAGCGAGCTTGCAACTGGTTTCGGACTGGTTGGCCGCGACACTTAGCGAAGAACAACTCGTGGGTGATGCAAAGTTCCTTAAGCCTGCTTTGCTTGGGAAGATTCGTGCTGGTGTAGGTGGCGAGCATTCAAGTGCGCTTTACGACATCACTGTCGCCGAGGCAAAAGAGAAGTCTTGGCTTAAGGGCCCGTACAGTCCTGCCGAAATGGATCAGCGCTACAACGGGCGGTGGTTGCCGGTCAGGAGGTTCCCTGTGGTCCAGAAGGATAAGCTTCGGCCAATTGATGATTTGCGTGAGAATAGAGTCAATGACACCTTTTCAAGCACGGAGAGGGCGACCTTGGATGCTTTGGATCACTTGGTGTGGGCGTCTATTTTCTTGATGCTTTTATGTTGGAAGTCGAAGGGACCACTATGACAGGGATCCCTCAAGGAGTTTGCATTCCTAAAACCTTAAAAGTGCACTGAACCTGCCTGGCCGGTGACAGAGCTTCTTCTCCGATCAATAGTGAGCTAAAGCAGACCGGGGTGATGTGTGTGAAACCGGACATGCAGTCCAAAAACCAATGCGATGTTTTTCCTCAGGAGTTTCTCGATGCCGAGGAACCACGACTCGATGGGATATGCAAACCATATGCAAGAGATATTTCACCCTTGTCCGCCAGATGAGAAAAGTGAGAGTGAAGCCATTCTGTCGATTGCGTGTTTCCAATTGCGTTTTCGTTGTGATGTTTTGTTGCATGTTGATGTTTTCTGCATGTGCGTTTTATGCGATGCGTATATAGATTTATGTTCCCCCCTTTTTATGGTGTTCGTATGCTCTCGTGGATATTATATGACTCCCGATATGTTAACTGTTTATACGATTCCGTGCTATGCAGTTTGTGGAATCCGTGCTATGCCGATTGTGTGAGGGACAAGGTCAGTTTATAAGGTAGCAGTTAGACTTGTCTAATAGCTGTTTATAAACAAGACCTTGAAGCCTTCGTTTAACGTACTTGTTTCGTTTATGTTTTACGGGGTACTTTCAGATCTTTGTTTCCCCTGAAACATTTTGGATCAAGCTGGACTTCAATCTTCTTTGCGTTTTTGTTTGATTGCGTTTATACATTATGGAAAAAAAAATAATAATGAGAAAACAAGCAGCTACGTCAGTCTGGAACTTTCACTTGACAGCGTCTACCAGTGGGTCTTAGCAGGTTGGGTTGCAATTTCATGGGACTTTCATTTCCTGGTTGGTTTCACATTGCATCACCTCCCGGGTACCGGGGTGTGCCATGCTGGCCCTGCGACATCGGGCCCCAAACTGGATTGACATTTTTGCTTCTCCAATTCGTGCTGAGCTTTGTACCATCCTAGTTTCATACCTGTACGATCAACGAGAGGATCTGATTTTGCCTCCGGATATTTGGAGACTTAGCTGGTGTTCTACAAGGGTTTACAACTTCACTGTCAGATTTCGTGAAATTCAGACTCCATCGGTGGCGGATGGGAGCTCAGATGATTAGAGAAGACAGTTGGGACCTTATCCCAGATGTTCCTCCGACTCAGTTGTTGCAACCCACACCAAAATCATGTCCTTTGAGTAGACCCAATTTTGAGCTTCGACCTAGACTTCCTGCGGTGATGCATGCTTCTGCAAGGAATCTGGCATGTGACAATAGGTTTCAACCTTCAGGACCTCGACTGACGGTGGCAGGGCTCTCAGCAGCAGCTCCGGCAGTGATACCAGGATATGAACCCGTAAGGAGTAGTTTGTCTCACCATGTTTCACATGTTGCATGTCCTTATGAAAGGGTAGTTCGTACTGAATACCATCCAGTTAGCTTACAAATGCGTTCCAGTTCGAGCTCACTGCCACAATCAGGTTTAGACAGAATCTTAATGCCAGACCTGTGCCCAAGCACGGATGCAGCGTTACCATGCCCTCCAATCAACAAAGGGACTAGGGATAAGGTGGACAAGCCCTACCCCTCCGTGCGGCCCTCAACAGCGATCCAGCTGACTCGCTCCAAGTTGACGAGTGACAACCAGTTTTTGGTAGCACAATTTGCGGAGTTACTGGCATTTTTTGGCAATTCATCCGAAGTACATCGTTCACTGGTTTCTTCACCATTTGCTGATGACCATCGCAAGAGACTGTTAAATAACTATGCTGCTACCACAGTTTTTCGCTACTTGCAAGCAGTGCAGAAGTTTGTACGCGTGACGACACAGTTGGGTATGGACATCCATGCATTGTCAGAATCCCAGTTGGCTGATGCTTTGACAGTGATGCAACAATCCAAGTCATGCGACACAGATCGGGATGTTAGCTCCGGCAATTTTACCATCAAAGCACTGCGATGGTGGTACAAAATTGCTGGTGTCACCAAATTTCAAATTTGTTTTTCCCCGCTGGTCGACAGCTTCCTGAAGACCAAGTTGAGCAAGGATAAGAGGGAAGCACCCCCGCTTCCTCTTTGGCTTCTTTTTCAATGGGAGCGTCGGGTCCTCCAGAGTGCTGCAACAGTTTATGAGACAATGATGTTGGGTGCATTCCTTCTTATCACATGGGCAGGTCTCCGTTTCGCTGACGCACAGAGGTTGAATGTTGACTCCCTGGTATTTAACTTTCAGGAACTACGTGGATTGGTCTGGAGATCCAAGACGATGGCAGCAGGCCACCCCTTTGGGGTACAAGCAGCAGGCCTATGCAGTACAGGGACATTCACCTGGCTTTTCAAATTTTTGCAAACATGGGACCAGCTAATGAGGGACCTTCAAATTCCACGTTCACAATGTGATTTTTTGATTCCTGCCATGCAACCGGATGGTACCATCTCCGAGTTTGAACCATTGGACTATGCGGGAACAACCAAAATTTTCAGAGCGATGTTGATGACCCCATGGAAGCGCTTTCAAGGGGACCATCCATTAGAGCAACTTCAGATGACTTACACCCTTCATTCCATGAAAGCCACGCTTTTGAGCTTTGGACCACAGCTGGGCACTTTGGTCAGCGACTCAGATCGTCTTTTACAAGGACATCACCAGGATCAGAAACAATCTTTGAATCTGTATGGTCGCGATAGCGTTTGGGGTTCTCTCCGTTATCAACAGACTGTCACATCGCAGATTCAACAAGGATGGAGGCCAAAAACTGCACAACATAGAGGGGGACAGTTTCCTCTTGTGGAGCCAACAGTGATTTTAGAGCGTTACAAAAAAGGTGCACCTGACTACAGGTTTGAATGGCTTCCGTTTCATCACCATGAAGAACCCCAGGAACTTCCACCGGCTCACGAGGTGGTATCTGAAGCATCCGATACGGACTCCAGCAGCAGTGACAGTGACACTGACAGCAAAAGTTCCGAACATGCTTTGTCGGTTCAGGAGATGAACCCCAAGAAACAGGAACCAATACAAGTGGATGAAGCTGTGTTTGCTCGCCATCGACGGGTCACCCATGCTATGGTGATCATGGACGACGGCAACGATTCTAGACCTCTTTTCATGGGGCATTTGTGGAAGGCGTCATGTGGCACGCGTATGAGACATTCAGAAACTGAATTTTTGGATGAATGGCACCCTTCTATGGCATTTTGCCAACATGCAGGTTGCAAGCGCGTGTGGGCAGCCATAAATTTGCAGTGACTGGAATTCGCACTCCAAAAAAGAAAAAAGCGTTCGGAGTGGCCCTCTCAAGGTTGAGAAACAACGGTCAAGCAGGCATTTCATGCCCCTGCAGTAGGGTTTCCTTTGGCAGCGTTCACAACACTTGATGTGCATGATATCACAAATCACATTGGTTTGTCTCATTTTCTCCATATTGAGGTGCTGGCTTCATGGCTCAATATATGCTCTTTTCCGCAGCCATTTAAAAAAAAACAAAGAGGTACAAAAGGATCAAAGGTATCCCCATGACAATATGGACAAGGAAGGACTCCTTGACTTACAGTGCGGCACTCAGCTCATTCCTCAGTTCAGATAGGTCATTTGCGTGTGTTTTTTCCATGGGTTCATTTTTTACCACTCCACAGATTTTCACATCATCAAGACCAGCGTCAATTGCAGGGATTCATGCTCATCTCCTGATGAGAATGCTTCGCGTCCTTTTTTCCTTGGTTTAGGAAACTGCGTCATGACTACAAAGTCATTAGAGGATGCCATGTCGGCATGTGGCGTTGAACCAGTTATTGCATCACAGCTGGTGCAGATGGGCTGGACGGTCCAAACATTTGCGTGTGCTGCAGTGAATTTAGAAGCGTTTGATCGCCTGTGGCCTGAGTTTTTTCCGGAGGAAGAACCCTCACTGCTGCAGAAAGCTTCCCTGAGGGCGGCATTCAAGATGTGTCAAGAAATGACACAACCTGCATTAACCAATAACCAGGCTGCACCTGCCTCAGCGGTTTCGGATCCTATGGCGAATCCTGGAACTTGGGCGGAGAGTTTTCCACCGAAGTTAGATGCAGCAGTGATTGATCAGATGAAAACCAAATTTTTGGCCAGTTACCCCTCTGAGTTGGTCAACCATGATACCATGCCAAGCACAAGACTGCTTAGCCTTGTGCACCATCAATTGGGGAAGAAACAATGGGCTTGGATCCCCTGGAAATATAGACTGACCATGGCGAAATCTGAAGAGGTCGCCTCCCAGAAACAGAGCAAGATGCCAAAATTAGAAGTGGCCTCCTTACATCATCTGTTGGTGGATGAACCCCCAGCCATTGATATATCAAATACTGGATTTGGAGTCAATGCAGTCCGAAATCTGTTGGCCGTTCATGACATGGCAGTGGCAATGTGCGGTGGAGCCCATTTGGCCAACCTCAAGGCCTACTCAGCCAAATTTCTGAGCTTCCTGACCCAGAAGGTGGACCCAGATAGCATGTTGAGATGTGCATCCATTACAGAAGCGCAGGCAGCGGACCGCCAAATCTGGGCTGCAATTGCAGACTTAATGTCAGAGCGTGGATGGGATATGGACAATTGCCTTCATGAGTTCACCCACATTCGTCATGATTTGCCAGGACTTTTGCAATTGAGGCCACGTCCAATGAAGATCGCTTCGGCTCCATCACATCCCAGTTTTTCAGGTCCATCCAAGAGCAAGGGCAAAGGCAAACCCTCCAAGGGTAAAGGAAAATCGAAAGGCAAAGGCAAGGTTCAATGGTTGACAGATGCAAAAACCAAGGACGGTCAGTGGAAACAGTTGTGCATGAGGTATCAAACCGGGAATTGCTCTTTAGGCGATTCATGCCGTTTTCATCATGCGTGCGCCTACCCAGTGAATGGACAAGCATGCGGCTTGGAGCATGGAGCATTGCAACATCAGAATACAACTCACTGACTAGAGCAATCCGAAGCAGGCCCTTCAGTTTCAGCGGCCTCAATCAGTGCCGCGGCGGTGGCGGTCTCTCCCGACATTCCTCCTAA